CCTCTTACGGGATGGGGTGGGGGGAAATTAGGAAGGACGGACGCCTTGTTGTCTCCATTCCTCTCTAGGGGGTGAGCTCCAAGGTGCACTTACTGGAAAATACATCCAATTACAGCAGTCCAATTATAGACGCTCCCACTGAGAAAGTTAATACCTTGCTGTGCTTTCGATCTTGGGAGCACCGCCAAGAGGCAACTCTGTGCCCTTGCACCACGGTGTAGAGAAACGGAGCGAAGGCAGACGTTTTAAGAGATGAACCCCTAAGATTCAGGGGCTCCACATACGGGCTGGCCACCTTCCCACCTTCCCACCTTCCCTCTAAGGCAGCAGTTTTCCCATTGAGTTCACATGAACGCCAGAGTCTTGAGAATGTGAAACCCAGAAATAGTGGGCCAGACACTGGGCAAACCCCTTTGGAAGACCAACGATGACCACGGTCAACTGTTTTTCACAAGGCCCAGCTGTTTACAACCAGAAAAAAGGTAAGAAACCTCAAAATACACAGAACCTATTCCTCTTCTTGCTGAACAGGGTGCCTCTTGTTTATAGAGTCCAACATGCTTCTTGTTCTTCAAGAGGTTTAGAGCCCACCTGGATACGATGCCAATGACAAGTACACAAACGGCTTTTCTGGAATAAATTACAGGCAGAGGGCTGGTGGGGCGGGGGTCCCTGATCAAGAGTGGCCGGAGAAAGGTGGACGGGTCCAGACTGGTTTGCCTTTGACTGTAATTATTTCTTAAAAGCCGTTTAAAAATAACTGCTTGCTTCAAGAATGATGAATCTAGTCGGCCCTTGGAGACATCCTGCTTGTAGAGTGGGTACAAACCTGGTACCAAGAAGGTAAAGGTAAAGGTTCCCCTTGACAATGTTTTTGTCCAGTCGTGTTTGACTCTAGGGGGCGGTGCTCATCCCCGTTTCCAAGCCATAGAGCCAGCGTTTTTGTTCGAAGACAATCTTCCGTGGTCACATGGCCAGTGCGACTTAGACACGGAATGCTGTTACCTTCCCACCGAGGTAGTCCCTATTTATCTACTTGCATTTGCATGCTTTCGAACCGCTAGGTTGGCGGGAGCTGGGGCAAGCGACAGGCGCTCACTCCGTTGCGTGGATTCGATCTTACAACTGCTTGGTCTTCTGACCTTGCTGCACAGGCTTCTGTGGTTTAGCCCGCAGC